GTCGCTGGTGACTCTGGTGCTGCTGAGGGTGCTGAGCCTGGGGGTGCTGACTCTGGGGGTGCTGAGCGTGGGGGTGCTGAGCCTGAGGGTACTACGAGAGGGGGTGCTGAGCCTGGGGTTGCTGGGTCTGGGGGTGCTGAGCCTGGGGGTGCTACGCCTAGGGGTGCTGAGCCTGGGGGTGCTGAGCCTGGGGGTGCTGAGCCTGGGGGTGCTACGCCTGGAGGTGCTGAGCCTGGGGGTGCGGAGCCTGATGGAGCTGGGCCTGCTGGTGCTGTGCCTGGCGGTTCTCCTGGTGCTTCTTCTCGCCGGGAGCCACTCTCTCCATAGGAGCTGCGTGAGTGGTTTGCCCGGCGCTGGAGGCGAGCTACTGGAGCTGGAGGTGCTGCGGGTACTGGAGGTTCTGTTGCTGCTGAGGGAGCTGGTGCCATGGGTCCCGGAGGTGCTCGTACTGGGAGTACTGGAGCTGCTGGACCTGCAGCTACTTCTGGAGCTGGAGCTGCTGCGAGTGTTGGCGCGGAGGCTACTACTGTCGGTCCTGGAGGCGGTCCTGCTGGGGGTACTACTGGTGCTGCTGGAGGTACTGGAGCTGGAGCTGCTACTGGTGCTGGTGCTGCCACTGGGGGTGCTGGTGCTGTCCCTGCTGTGTCTGGAGTCGCCGCGCGACCTCGGCCGTACTTCGTTCCGCTCCTTCAGCAGGTTCTTGGTCTCCCGTCTTCTACTGGTCCTCCTCCTCCCTTAGAGTGTCCACAGCCTGTCCCGTCGCAGTTACAGTTACAGCCGGCCTCCCCACTGCCTGCTCCGTCTCCCTACACTGGTCCTACTGGAGATCTTGCTGAGCGTCGTGAGCCTGCGTCTCGCCCTGCGTCGCCTGTCCGTGCTGCTCGCACTAGTGGTCGCAGTTCGCGTCAGCGTCCTCAACCTGTCCCTGGCACGCAGCGGATGTCTCTGCGTCCGTCCACTGCTCCTCTGCGTGCCCCTTTGCCTTCTCCTCCTGAGTCTTCTCTTCCTGCTCTTGCCGACCCGGAGTCGGACTCTCTTCGTGCTGCTAGTCCTACTGTCACGCGTCTCCTTGCTACTATTGTCACTGACCCTTCCTTTGAGTCCACTGCTGCATCTGCCCTAGTTGCTGAGCTTGTCGACTTCGCTGCTCGCTGTCGCCTAGACTACGCCGCCAGTCTTGTTGCTGAGTCTGAGTCTGTCTGTCCTCTGTCCGTCGGGGGTGAGTGTGCCCTTAGCACGGACGTCCTTGAGGACAGGTAGGAGGAGTTCCAGTGCTTGGCCGCTGCTTCAACTCATCTCGTGTCCGTACTGCTTACCCCTAAGGGAGACCCGGATGCACTTGACATCTCGACTCCGCGCTCTTACGCGGAGGCGATAGAGGGTCCCTACTCCTCACATTGGCAGGCAGCTATGGACGCAGAGATGGCTTCCTGGAAGTCCACACGCACCTACGTTGACGCTGTTCCCCCTCGTGGGGCGAACATCGTCAGTGGCATGTGGATTTTCAGGGTGAAGCGACCGCCGGGTTCTCCGCCTGTCTTCAAGGCGCGTTACGTGGCTCGTGGCTTCAATCAGCGGCAGGGAGTTGACTATTTTCAGACCTTCTCTCCCACCCCGAAGATGACCACTCTTCGGGTACTGCTGCACATAGCTGCTCACCGTGACTACGAGCTACACTCTCTTGACTTCAGCACTGCTTTCTTGCAGGGCTGCCTGCACGAGGAGATCTGGCTGCGTCGCCCACCTGGTTTCACTGGGTCTTTTCCTCCTGGCACCCAGTGGAGCCTCCGGCAGCCAGTCTACGGTCTCCGCCAGGCACCGCGTGAGTGGCACGACACACTGAGGACTACACTTGCGGCTCTTGGCTTTGCTCCCTCTACTGCCGACCAGTCGCTGTTTCTGCGCAGCGACACTTCTTTGCCGCCGTTCTACATCCTCGTGTACGTCGACGACTTGGTCTTTGCCACAGCTGACACTGCTGGACTCGCCCACGTGAAGTCCGAGCTGCAGAAGAGACACACGTGCACTGACCTGGGTGAACTGCGCAGCTACCTTGGCTTGCAGATCACTCGGGACAGAGCACGCCGCACCATTACCCTGACTCAGTCACACATGGTGCAGCAGGTCCTTCAGCGCTTCGGCTTCACGTACTCCTCGCCTCAGGCCACTCCTCTGCCTACTCGCCACTCGCTCTCAGCTCTGCCTTCGGATGAGTCCGTAGAGTCGAGTGGCCCGTACCCAGAGCTTGTTGGCTGCCTCATGTACCTGATGACCTGCACACGACCTGACCTTGCATACCCTCTTAGCATTCTCGCACGCTATGTTGCTCCTGGGAGACACCGACCAGAGCACATGGCTGCAGCGAAGAGGGTGTTGCGCTACTTGTGCAGTACGTCGGGCATGGGGCTTGTGCTTGGAGGGCAGAGTCCAGTGGTCCTCACTGGGCACGCAGACGCTTCTTGGGCTGACGACCAGGCTACGCAGCGGTCGTCACAGGGTTACACCTTCAGCCTTGGTTTCGGCTCTGTCGCGTGGCGGGCTACTCGCTCGTCTTCTGTTCTCGGCTCCAGTTGTGAGGCTGAGATCTACGCAGGAGCCATGGCTGCACAGGAGTTACGCTGGCTCACCTACCTGCTGACTGACCTCGGAGAGCCGCCTCGTTCTCCTCCAGTGCTGTACGTAGACAACAAGGCCATGCTGGCCTTGTGTCTGGAGCAGAGACTGGAGCACAGAACGAAGCACATTGCTCTCCGCTACTTTCTTGCTCGTGAGCTGCAGCAGCGTGGTCAGTAGCGTCTTGCGTACGTGGCCTCTGAGGCCAACACTGCTGATATCTTCACCAAGGCGCTTGCGCCTTGTGACCATCAGCGCTTCTGTACTCAGCTTGGCCTTGTGCCTACTTTGCCTCACTTGCTCACCTCTTAACCTTGCTTGTACTGTTACATATATATATATCTGCTCTTGCTTGTCTAGCCTTTTATATATATGTACTCCTGCATGTGAACTGGCCTTGTGGCCTTGAACTTGTGCTCGGAATGTGTGGTGACTTTGTGATCCACCCTGAGCTTGCTTTGCTTTGCTTTGCTTGACTGGTCTTGTGACCCCTTGTTCTCCCCCACTTTGCCTATGGGGGTGTGTCAGAACATTATAGCTCATGCATATTGTGTAGGCTATAGTGGGGTAGTCCATAAGGGGTACAACCCAATTAGGGTTAGTACTTGTACCCAATTCATTCATAGTTCATTCATTCTCGTTTCTTCTCAAACTACTCGGCGTCTCGCGAAGCGCGGCGCACTGCGCTCGCGGCGTACGAGATGCTCATTGGCTATGCACAGGCCACCTGCATTACCCCGCGGGACCTCTGCGCGTTATTCGATATCCGCAACCCTACCATAGTTGCGCAGATGGAGCGAGCAAGCCCGCCTTTGAATCTTATTGCGACCCCGCCGCCCGCCATGCCTCTTGTCGCCACCCCGCCGGCTAAGACCCCCCGTCGCCATGGTCGCGTGCTGAAGGCGTGGATGACGGTGCCCACCCCTGACTGGGTGTCACAATACGTGCGCCGCCAGGAGCTGGTCGACGCTGGTGCGCCCGCCGTCATAAGCGGCTTCTTAGCTGCCGCCGAATGGATGCGGCTGTAAAGGAAATTGAGACCCCTTAGAGGAGTGCACGTCTCCTCCTCGTGCAAATGTGTACGGCTTGTGCACATTTGCGCATGGTGTTTGTGATGACAAGGTTGTTTGCATGGGTACAGATAGGGCCATATCATTGGCTAGATCGTTGGAGAAGGTGTTTGTGACAAAAGGAGAGATGGATTGTAATCGCATGCAATAGTAATACATTAAGTGAGTGGTAACCATGTCTACGAATCAGCAACAAAACAGGGCAACCAATGCTATTCGGGAAAAAAACAAACATGTTACAACCTGTGTCTGTCAAGAGCTCATGAAGACTCTCGCAAAGTGCACGAACCATGCGAAAAGCAAGAAACAAGCCCAGAGCACAAGGGAAGGTCGGGGACTCAACCGAGCATCAGCTGTAATAACAGCTACCCAGACAGCAGGAGTGCTACCTAGGACGACCTGCAATACGCCAACCAGCGAGATCTACGCTTAGGACGCCTTGCAACGAGTTTAGGAGCGAAATTACCCCTACAGCGCGGCAGTCAGCGAATTTGTCACGTAGGACGCCCCGCTTTGGACGACCTGCAGCGCACCAGCCAACGAAATCACCGCTTTGGATGCCCTGCAGCGCGCTTAGGAGCGAGATCGTCGCTGAGGGCGCCCTGCAGTGCGCCAGCTAGCGAGATCGCCGCATTGGATGACCTGCAGCGCGTCGGCCAGCGAAGTCGCCACTAAGGACGCGCTGCAGCGGCGCTCTTAGGAGCGAGATCGTCACTTAGGACGCTTGCAGCGCGCTTTGGATCGAATTACACGCGCCGTTTGCAGTGCGCAGCCGTTTGCAGTGCGCTTATGAGTGAAATTGCCACGTAGGACGCTCTACAACGCGCTTAGGGATGCAGTGGAAGCTTAAGGCGCCTTGCAACGCGCTAGCCAGTGAGAGCAGCATCTCGGGCGCCCAGCAGTGGGCTTAGGAGGAAGATTGGCAGTTAGGACGGCGTACTAGGCTGTAGCACAGCGGCGCACAAGCCAGCGAGATCGCCAGTTACGATGCTGTCAGCGAGTCCACCGCCTCGGTCACCCTGCAGCACCGTATTGCACAGAGCTCTAGGCGGCCCACCAGACGAAATCTCCAGTGACGGTTCAACGAGATGAGGATAAACGCGTGGTCACAAGATGGTCGACGGTTTTGAGACAATTTCGCGTTCAGTCGGATCGCGCAATATCGTCCGAAGGTTTGGAGCGAATGCAGGGCGTCGTCATTGTGTGATAGCACCACCTCATCGCGAGTGCATGTATCCTAAGTCGCCTACGCCTGGTTTGCTGGACAGTCAGCTCAGACCACGTTTTTATCCGCCGTCCTTATAGCGAGGACACGCAATGTCGTATTCGCAACTCGTTTCCTCTGGCCTCTCTTTTCTCGCCCGCTTTTCACCTGTATCCAACCAGTCCTTCGCGCCTCGACTTACATCTACATTCAGCCCTGCGCTTAGCTCCGGCAGATTCCTTTCTGCTTGCTCCCTCCGAGATTCTGGCGGCGATAATTCATTTCCTCCTATCGGAAACATTACAGTCGCTAGCAGGAGGGTTAAACGCGGCGCGGTATCAGCGGAAGGCGGAGCGGGCGGAAGCCGCGCACCGAGGCCCGCGCAGCAAGGGGGTGGGGAGAAGCGCGGACCAAGGGGGGCCGGATTGCAGGGAGGGGAAAGTCGGGAGGTGAGGGGGGCGGAAACGTTACCCGAGGGATCGCAGGGCTCGCGGAATGAGCGCGGGCGCGACGGGAGAGACGCGCAGGGGGGGGCGCAAGGGTGGGTGGGCATAGGGGGGTCTAAAGCGGAAGCCCTGCGCGTGCGTGTGGGATGGAGATGGGCGGAAGACGAGGGGAACGCGGAGGCGGAAGCGGAGGCGGAGGGGGCGCTGGGGGAGACGCCATTGCAGAAGAGACGGAGGTTTGGGCAGGCTGTGGAGAAAATGAAGGGGGACGCGGCGCGCAGGCGGAAGCTGGCAGAGAAGGGGCTTCCGCCGCACCCCCTTGGCGCGCCAGGCAACGGGCTGCTGGTCCCCCGCCTGGTGCCCGTGGCGCACCGCACTCTCGCGCTCTGGCTGTCCCTCCAGGCGAAGATCCCACGCCTGCTTGACGCCGTGCCCGCTCATGCCTGCAGGTAGGGCTGGTGTAGGTACAGGTTCCGCACTGCCTTGCGCTGTACAGGTTCCGCACTGCCCTGTTCCGCACTGCCCTGTTCCGCGGCACGCCACCATCCCAAGGCTGCTGGAGGCAGTGCCTCGTGCAGGTTGGGCCGTTGTTGCTGCTGCTGCTGCTGCTGCTGCTGCTCCCTCTTCCCCAACTCTCTCCCCTTTCTCCCCCCACCACTCATCTCTGCTGGGTCAGCTACCCCTCGCCTTAACACCCTCACCTTTTTCTTGCCCTTACCACCACCATCACCACCACCATCACCACCACCATCACCACCTCCATCACCACCACCATTACCACCTAACCCGCCACCGCCACTGCTGCTGCGCTGCTGGTGCTGCTTCTACTCGCATCAAGTGCACTCGCTCACCGTAAACCGGCGCTGCTGCTCGCTGCTCTCTCGACTCCATGTCCAGCCTCTCGACTCCATGTCCAGCCTCTCGACTCCATGTCCAGCCTCTCGACTCCATGTCCAGCCTCTCGACTCCATGTCCAGCCTCTCGCCCATTCCCCCCATGGGAATACGCGCATGTTGCCATCCCCCCCATGGCGAGGGCCGTTGCAAGCCTCCTTCGCGAACCACTCTAACCGCCCCTTCTCCTCCAACCCCACGCCCCTTCTCCTCCAACCCCACGCCCCTTCTCCTCCAACCCCACGCCCCTTCTCCTCCAACCCCACGCCCCCCACCCCCACATGGCCCCCCTTGCCTCCGTCCCCCATCTTCCCCATCCCGCCAGGCGGTGTCCAGAGGTCTCCATTGCGCACCGCCCGTGCAAACTGCAACGCCTTCAGAGGCCCCTCTGCTTCCAAATCCTTCACCGAATCAAGCCCCCTTACCCTCGTGCTTGTCTGTCCCCCTTCCCCATCCCCCAGGTGGTGTCTAGAGATTTTCATTGCCCACCACACCCACGCCGTCCGCAACCTTCAGAATCCGCTCTATCTCAAACCAGACTTACCCCCTCTAGTCACCTAAGCCCGTTGCCAGCTCTTGCCCCTCCTCCCCCAACCCCACCCGCCAGGCGGTGTCCAGAGGTCTCCAATACGCGCCACCTGCATGCCATGCGCACATGCGCGCTCTCAACAACTCCCTCCACCTCTGAACAACTCCCTCCACCTCTGAACAACTCCCTCCACCTCTGAACAACTCCCTCCACCTCTGAACAACTCCCTCCACCTCTGAACAACTCCCTCCACCTCTGAACAACTCCCTCCACCTCTGAACAACTCCCTCCACCTCTGAACAACTCCCTCCACCTCTGAACAACTCCCTCCACCTCTGAACAACTCCCTCCACCTCTGAACAACTCCCTCCACCTCTGAACAACTCCCTCCACCTCTGAACAACTCCCTCCACCTCTGAACAACTCCCTCCACCTCTGAACAACTCCCTCCACCTCTGAACAACTCCCTCCACCTCTGAGCAACTCCCTCCACCTCTGAAGGCGTCTACGGTCGCCTAAGCCCCCTTTGCCCTCTCTCCCATCTCTCCGCCTCCCCCATCCCTTCAGGTGGTGTCCGGAGGTCTCCATTGCCCACCACCCGCACGTCATCCGCAACTGCAAGGGTCCGAAGCTGCACAGCTGTTCGGGCAGCCCGGGCAGCCATGAATGGGCGCCTGCCACGCCTTCTGACATCCTCCCGGTCATCGAAAGTTTTCATCTGCCCGATCGTCTGCGCCCCCGTGTGCCGCACGAGGCGAGATTCGATGTGGAGAGGATCCCAGCTGTCATAGAGCTGTGCGTTCAGGTGATTCTTCAGGTTCAGGCCATTCATCAAGTTCAGGTGAGCTTTCAGGTGACTTGTAAGTCATCCCACCCCTCCCCGCCCCCCTGCAGGCCGGGCGAGGGTGGGTCTCCCAGCGGCATGGGCCCACTGCTTCGCACGTTCGCACGCCACCATCCCTTCCTTCCCCACTCGGTGCTCTCTGTAGAGCATCTTGCATGTATGAACAAGCGAGACACGCACCCAACCCACAAGTCCGCATGCTCTGTGCTCACCATGTGGTCCATCATCCGTCCACCACCCGTGTTCTGCCTTGCACACCCGTGTTCTGCCTTGCACACCCGTGTTCTGCCTTGCACACCCGTGTTCTGCCTTGCACACCCGTGTTCTGCCTTGCACACCCGTGTTCTGCCTTGCACACCCGTGTTCTGCCTTGCACACCCGTGTTCTGCCTTGCACACCCGTGTTCTGCCTTGCACACCCGTGTTCTGCCTTGCACACCCGTGTTCTGCCTTGCACACCCGTGTTCTGCCTTGCACACCCGTGTTCTGCCTTGCACACCCGTGTTCTGCCTTGCACACCCGTGTTCTGCCTTGCACACCCGTGTTCTGCCTTGCACACCCGTGTTCTGCCTTGCACACCCGTGTTCTGCCTTGCACACCCGTGTTCTGCCTTGCACACCCGTGTTCTGCCTTGCACACCCGTGTTCTGCCTTGCACACCCGTGTTCTGCCTTGCACACCCGTGTTCTGCCTTGCACACCCGTGTTCTGCCTTGCACACCCGTGTTCTGCCTTGCACACCCGTGTTCTGCCTTGCACACCCGTGTTCTGCCTTGCACACCCGTGTTCTGCCTTGCACACCCGTGTTCTGCCTTGCACACCCGTGTTCTGCCTTGCACACCCGTGTCCTGCCTTGCACACCTGTGTTCTGCCTTGCACACCCGTGTTCTGCCTTGCACACCCGTGTTCTGCCTTGCACACCCGTGTTCTGCCTTGCACACCCGTGTTCTGTCTCGGAGACCGCCGTTTTATCTTGCACACCCGTGTTCTGCCTTGCACACCCGTGTTCTGCCTTGCACACCCGTGTTCTGCCTTGCACACCCGTGTTCTGCCTTGCACACCCGTGTTCTGCCTTGCACACCCGTGTTCTGCCTTGCACACCCGTGTTCTGCCTTGCACACCCGTGTTCTGCCTTGCACGACCCGTGTTCTGCCTTGCACACCCGTGTTCTGCCTTGCACACCCGTGTTCTGCCTTGCACACCCGTGTCTGCCTTGCACACCCGTGTTCTGCCTTGCACACCCGTGTTCTGCCTTGCACACCCGTGTTCTGCCTTGCACACCCGTGTTCTGCCTTGCACACCGTGTTCTGCCTTGCACACCCGTGTTCCTGCCTTGCACACCCGTGTTCTGCCTTGCACACCCGTGTTCTGCCTTGCACACCCGTGTTCTGCCTTGCACACCCGTGTTCTGCCTTGCACACCCGTGTTCTGCCTTGCACACCCGTGTTCTGCCTTGCACACCCGTGTTCTGCCTTGCACACCCGTGTTCTGCCTTGCACACCCGTGTTCTGCCTTGCACACCCGTGTTCTGCCTTGCACACCCGTGTTCTGCCTTGCACACCCGTGTTCTGCCTTGCACACCCGTGTTCTGCCTTGCACACCCGTGTTCTGCCTTGCACACCCGTGTTCTGCCTTGCACACCCGTGTTCTGCCTTGCACACCCGTGTTCTGCCTTGCACACCCGTGTTCTGCCTTGCACACCCGTGTTCTGCCTTGCACACCCGTGTTCTGCCTTGCACACCCGTGTTCTGCCTTGCACACCCGTGTTCTGCCTTGCACACCCGTGTTCTGCCTTGCACACCCGTGTTCTGCCTTGCACACCCGTGTTCTGCCTTGCACACCCGTGTTCTGCCTTGCACACCCGTGTTCTGCCTTGCACACCCGTGTTCTGCCTTGCACACCCGTGTTCTGCCTTGCACACCCGTGTTCTGCCTTGCACACCCGTGGTTTGCCTTGCACACCCGTGTTCTGCCTTGCACACCCGTGTTCTGCCTTGCACACCCGTGTTCTGCCTTGCACACCCGTGTTCTGCCTTGCACACCCGTGTTCTGCCTTGCACACCCGTGTTCTGCCTTGCACACCCGTGTTCTGCCTTGCACACCCGTGTTCTGCCTTGCACACCCGTGTTCTGCCTTGCACACCCGTGTTCTGCCTTGCACACCCGTGTTCTGCCTTGCACACCCGTGTTCTGCCTTGCACACCCGTGTTCTGCCTTGCACACCCGTGTTCTGCCTTGCACACCCGTGTTCTGCCTTGCACACCCGTGTTCTGCCTTGCACACCCGTGTTCTGCCTTGCACACCCGTGTTCTGCCTTGCACACCCGTGTTCTGCCTTGCACACCCGTGTTCTGCCTTGCACACCCGTGTTCTGCCTTGCACACCCGTGTTCTGCCTTGCACACCCGTGTTCTGCCTTGCACACCCGTGTTCTGCCTTGCACACCCGTGTTCTGCCTTGCACACCCGTGTTCTGCCTTGCACACCCGTGTTCTGCCTTGCACACCCGTGTTCTGCCTTGCACACCCGTGTTCTGCCTTGCACACCCGTGTTCTGCCTTGCACACCCGTGTTCTGCCTTGCACACCCGTGTTCTGCCTTGCACACCCGTGTTCTGCCTTGCACACCCGTGTTCTGCCTTGCACACCCGTGTTCTGCCTTGCACACCCGTGTTCTGCCTTGCACACCCGTGTTCTGCCTTGCACACCCGTGTTCTGCCTTGCACACCCGTGTTCTGCCTTGCACACCCGTGTTCTGCCTTGCACACCCGTGTTCTGCCTTGCACACCCGTGTTCTGCCTTGCACACCCGTGTTCTGCCTTGCACACCCGTGTTCTGCCTTGCACACCCGTGTTCTGCCTTGCACACCCGTGTTCTGCCTTGCACACCCGTGTTCTGCCTTGCACACCCGTGTTCTGCCTTGCACACCCGTGTTCTGCCTTGCACACCCGTGTTCTGCCTTGCACACCCGTGTTCTGCCTTGCACACCCGTGTTCTGCCTTGCACACCCGTGTTCTGCCTTGCACACCCGTGTTCTGCCTTGCACACCCGTGTTCTGCCTTGCACACCCGTGTTCTGCCTTGCACACCCGTGTTCTGCCTTGCACACCCGTGTTCTGCCTTGCACACCCGTGTTCTGCCTTGCACACCCGTGTTCTGCCTTGCACACCCGTGTTCTGCCTTGCACACCCGTGTTCTGCCTTGCACACCCGTGTTCTGCCTTGCACACCCGTGTTCTGCCTTGCACACCCGTGTTCTGCCTTGCACACCCGTGTTCTGCCTTGCACACCCGTGTTCTGCCTTGCACACCCGTGTTCTGCCTTGCACACCCGTGTTCTGCCTTGCACACCCGTGTTCTGCCTTGCACACCCGTGTTCTGCCTTGCACACCCGTGTTCTGCCTTGCACACCCGTGTTCTGCCTTGCACACCCGTGTTCTGCCTTGCACACCCGTGTTCTGCCTTGCACACCCGTGTTCTGCCTTGCACACCCGTGTTCTGCCTTGCACACCCGTGTTCTGCCTTGCACACCCGTGTTCTGCCTTGCACACCCGTGTTCTGCCTTGCACACCCGTGTTCTGCCTTGCACACCCGTGTTCTGCCTTGCACACCCGTGTTCTGCCTTGCACACCCGTGTTCTGCCTTGCACACCCGTGTTCTGCCTTGCACACCCGTGTTCTGCCTTGCACACCCGGTGTTCTGCCTTGCACACCCGTGTTCTGCCTTGCACACCCGTGTTCTGCCTTGCACACCCGTGTTCTGCCTTGCACACCCGTGTTCTGCCTTGCACACCCGTGTTCTGCCTTGCACACCCGTGTTCTGCCTTGCACACCCGTGTTCTGCCTTGCACACCCGTGTTCTGCCTTGCACAACCCGTGTTCTGCCTTGCACACCCGTGTTCTGCCTTGCACACCCGTGTTCTGCCTTGCACACCCGTGTTCTGCCTTGCACACCCGTGTTCTGCCTTGCACACCCGTGTTCTGCCTTGCACACCCGTGTTCTGCCTTGCACACCCGTGTTCTGCCTTGCACACCCGTGTTCTGCCTTGCACACCCGTGTTCTGCCTTGCACACCCGTGTTCTGCCTTGCACACCCGTGTTCTGCCTTGCACACCCGTGTTCTGCCTTGCACACCCGTGTTCTGCCTTGCACACCCGTGTTCTGCCTTGCACACCCGTGTTCTGCCTTGCACACCCGTGTTCTGCCTTGCACACCCGTGTTCTGCCTTGCACACCCGTGTTCTGCCTTGCACACCCGTGTTCTGCCTTGCACACCCATGTTCTGCCTTGCACACCCATGTTCTGCCTTGCACACCCATGTTCTGCCTTGCACACCCATGTTCTGCCTTGCACACCCATGTTCTGCCTTGCACACCCATGTTCTGCCTTGCACACCCATGTTCTGCCTTGCACACCCATGTTCTGCCTTGCACACCCATGTTCTGCCTTGCACACCCATGTTCTGCCTTGCACACCCATGTTCTGCCTTGCACACCCATGTTCTGCCTTGCACACCCATGTTCTGCCTTGCACACCCATGTTCTGCCTTGCACACCCATGTTCTGCCTTGCACACCCATGTTCTGCCTTGCACACCCATGTTCTGCCTTGCACACCCATGTTCTGCCTTGCACACCCATGTTCTGCCTTGCACACCCATGTTCTGCCTTGCACACCCATGTTCTGCCTTGCACACCCATGTTCTGCCTTGCACACCCATGTTCTGCCTTGCACACCCATGTTCTGCCTTGCACACCCATGTTCTGCCTTGCACACCCATGTTCTGCCTTGCACACCCATGTTCTGCCTTGCACACCCATGTTCTGCCTTGCACACCCATGTTCTGCCTTGCACACCCATGTTCTGCCTTGCACACCCATGTTCTGCCTTGCACACCCATGTTCTGCCTTGCACACCCATGTTCTGCCTTGCACACCCATGTTCTGCCTTGCACACCCATGTTCTGCCTTGCACACCCATGTTCTGCCTTGCACACCCATGTTCTGCCTTGCACACCCATGTTCTGCCTTGCACACCCATGTTCTGCCTTGCACACCCATGTTCTGCCTTGCACACCCATGTTCTGCCTTGCACACCCATGTTCTGCCTTGCACACCCATGTTCTGCCTTGCACACCCATGTTCTGCCTTGCACACCCATGTTCTGCCTTGCACACCCATGTTCTGCCTTGCACACCCATGTTCTGCCTTGCACACCCATGTTCTGCCTTGCACACCCATGTTCTGCCTTGCACACCCATGTTCTGCCTTGCACACCCATGTTCTGCCTTGCACACCCATGTTCTGCCTTGCACACCCATGTTCTGCCTTGCACACCCATGTTCTGCCTTGCACACCCATGTTCTGCCTTGCACACCCGTGTTCTGCCTTGCACACCCATGTTCTGCCTTGCACACCCATGTTCTGCCTTGCACACCCTCTGCACACCATCAATCCCTGACCCGTCCCCTGGCTCCCCCACCATCCACCCCCTCTGCTCCACTTCTCCCTTCCCCTTCCCTCCCCTCAGGCGGGTGTAGACCTGCCCGGCCTGCGCACCGTGCGCCGAACCGAACCTGTGCAGACCACCAGGCCTGGCACCGGCCGGGCCTGGGTGGCAGGCTTGGAGGGCGAATCGGAGTCAGGAGTGTTTAAGAGGGGAGCTTATAAGGGGGGCGAGGGGGATGTGGTGAAGGCGATTCTAGAGATGGCTGAGATGGAAGCCATGGGGGCGGAGGTGGCGTGGGATGAAGGGTCCAGGGGTACGATGAGGCGGGGGGAGGGGGGGTGGAGGGTGTTGGTGGAGGAGGGTGGTGGGGGCAAGATGGAGAGATGGTTGGAGAGTAGGTGCAATACAGAGGTGGATAGGAAGGAGAAAGGGAAGGGGGAGGAGAAAGAGGAGAAAGAGGAGGAAGAGGGAGGAGAGGACGGAGACGAAGCAGCGGAAGGGCAGGGGAGTCTAAGGGAGGTGGCAGAGGAGGCGTTGAGGGAGTGGCAGGCGGTGAGGGAGGGCGTGGAGAGGGTGATGGGCAAGTACCCCGTGATGGTGTGCGGGTACTGCCCCGAGGTGCACGTGGGTGGTGCTGGGCACAAGGTGGGATGATGGGGGAAGCATTGGGAGCATGGGAGAGGTGAGGGATGGCGTGGAGAGGCTGATGGGCCATTACCCTGTTATGGTGTCACTTTTGAGAATTCTCTAATTTGCGGAACTGCCCTCGAGTGCACGTGGGTGCTGCAGGGCACTAAGTGAGAGTATGCGGAGCATGTGGAGACATGGAGAGGCATGGAGGGGCATGGGGGAGCATGGCCGGGCATGAGGCGGGGTGCTGGGTCTTGAAGTTACCTGTGGGTGCTGGGTCTTGAAGTTACCTGTGGGTGCTGGGTCTTGCAGTTACCTGTGGGTGCTGGGTCTTGAAGTTACCTGTGGGTGCTGGGTCTTGAAGTTACCTGTGGGTGCTGGGTCTTGAAGTTCCCTGTGGTGCATGGGAACTCACTCACCACCCTGCTTGCACGCTACTCTCATGCCCTGTGCTCATGTTGCACGCTACACTCATGCCCTTGCCATCAAGCCCCGTCTTTAACTCACGGATTGCCAGAATTGCACATCGTACCACACATCGTACCACACATCCAGCTTCTCTCCATCCTCCCTTCTCCCAGGTGCGTCTGTGCAACGCGTCCAAGCAGCAGTGGCGCCACGGGCAGCACGGGTGGCAGCCGGCAGTGCTGGCAGATCTGCTCCCCCCCGTGCCCGTCTACCACACGCGCCACCCCTCCGGCCCTCCGCTGCTGCACGAGCTGAGGGCCTTCTACGGCCGAGTGCCCGCGCTGGTGGAGCTCTGTGTGCAGGCCGGGGCGCCTGTTCCGGATAAATGGCGGAGGCACTTGAGGCTGGATGTTGCAATCCCTGATGTCAGCGACGTGGACAATGTGGTGTGAGAGAGCACCTTGATTTCGACATCAGATATGGATGCATCTTGTACCATCTTCCCCAGCCACCCTCTGCTGCACGAGCTGAGGCCGCTGGTGGTACCCTGTGTGCACGCCGAGGTGCATGCTCCGGTGAAATGGCGGAGATACTTTTAGGCTCGACGCAGCAATTTTGATGTTGATGATGTCAATGATGTCCATGATGTGGATAGCGTGGTGTAAGAAAGCACCTTGTTGCTGTCCCTGACTTTTTGGTTGCTGCTCATGTCTGCTGCTCAACCCCCCCTCTGCTTCCCATTCTTGCTCCTGCTCCGGCCTCACAGCATCCATCTTCTAGTTGATCCAAATCGAATCTGAGTGTCAAAAAATGTTTATATATATTTAGGGGGGGAGGTTGTAGTTACTTGCATCTTAGGGGGTACATGTAAATCTCTCGACATTCTTCTTGTACCCCCTTCACTTTCCCTAGTCACATCATTCCCACCTAACTCTTCTAGATACCTACAACCTAGTGAAGTAACTTCTGAGATGGTATCAGATAGGTAACTCCTAGGCCTTAGGCTTGTGTTGCCTCATGCTGCTCCGTTCAGCCCCGTGTCGGCCTAAAGCACCACGTTACGCGCTGCCCCACGCTGACCTGCATTGCCCTACGTTCCTCGCACTAATTGCGCTGTAGGAGCCGCGCACATGCATCAGAGCCCCGCATGCACGCGCAGCAGCAGCTTCGCGCACACGCACGGTATGTGCCGCGCGCCCTGAAACCGGCGCCACGCGCCCTGAAACCGCCGCTGCGCGCTTTGCCCACCCTGCTGCCAGTACGCGCAGCCCCGCTCCATCCCGTACTGCCCCCTGCCCTACCGTCAGTGCGCGCAGCCGCACGCAAGCCGCCGCGCACGAGCAGATGCGCTCAGCAGCTGCATGCGCACATGCAGGTGCCTATGCAATAGGAGCCGCACGCACAGCAGCAGCAGCAGCTACACGCGCAGCTGCCCGCGCACTAGGAGCCGCGCGTGCAGCAGTAGCAACTGTTGCTGAAGGGGCTGAAGCTGAGGCACTACTTATGCGTCGCCTACTCTGCATCCCCACCGCTACCCGACGCATCTCCAGGAGCTTCGTTGACTGGAGCGTGAGGAGCAGGAGAGGTTGGAGCAGGAGAGGATGGAGCTCGAGCAGCAGCTGCGGGAACTGCAGCAGCAGCAGCCACCGTCCTTGCAGCCGTTGTCTCCACCTGTGAGTGGCCTTCGGACCCTTGGTCTTCCTTCCTCTCCCCTAGACCGTTCACTGTCTCGTCCAGTTTACGGTCCTACATTTCCCCCCCCCGGACTCGTCTCCGGCCGTTTTCTTTCCTTCTCGCTCACACTCGTCTCCTCCTGTTGTCCCGCACGACTGACAGTTTGCTTTCCCGCTCATGCACGTCCCTCGTCTCCTTTTGATGACATCTGTACTATCTTACTTTGTTTGAGTCCTCGTCGTTCTCCGCCTCAGTCTATTCTCCCATCACCTCCTCAGTCGTCTCTTACAGCCTCCACCTCTACCCCTATCACTGACTACTACCGTGTCACCCGTCCTGTTGTCACCAGTGTTCTCGCCTCTCTAGTCACGGACCCTCGTGCCTCTGTGTCGTTTGTCTCGACTCTTACCGCTGCTGTCTTTGACTTTGCCGCCACCCGCCGCCTTGACTACGCCACCCGTGTGGTGGCTGCTTGTCCTCTGTCAGCCGGGGGTGAGTCTGCCCTTGGCTGTGACGTCCTAGAGGGGAGGCAGTTTGAGCTGGAGTTCTTGGCAGTCGCTTCTCCCCATCTCTATGCCATGCTGCTAGCCCCTGAGGGAGACCCCGACACCCTTGACATACCGACTCTTCGCACAAACCGTGAAGCAGTGTCAGGGTAGTGGGCCTCTCAATGGATTGTAGCCATGAACTCAGAGATGACGTCTTGGAAATCCACAGGCACTTACGTCGACGCAATTCCCCCGCCTGGGGCGAACGTAGTCGACGGCATGTGGATCTTCAAGGTGAAGCGGCCGCCTGGATTGCGGCCTGTCTTCAAGGCGCACTACGTGGCTAGAGGCTTTAGTCAGCGTGAAGGGGTTGACTACTTCCAGACCTTCGCCCTGACCCCGAAGATGATGACTCTTCGGATGTTACTTCATGTTGCAGCACAGCGGGACTACGAGCTGCACTTCCTCGACTTCTCCACTGCCTTCCTCCAGGGCAGCCTGCACGAGGAAATCTGGTTGCGTCGTCCTCCTGGCTTCATTGGCGATTTCCCGCCTGGGACCCAGTGGAGCCTGAGACGACGAGTCTACGGTCTCTGCCATGCACCTCGTGAGTGGCACGACACTTTACGCTCCATGCGGACCTTGGTTTCAGACCTTCTACTGCGGACTCGTCGCTGTTTGTTCGCTCTGGGCCCACACCTTTCTTCGTCCTCGTCTACGTCGATGACTTGGTCTGTACGATAGCAGACAGGGTTGCTCTGCCTGAGGTGAAATCTGAACTGCAGAAGAGACACACGTACACTGACCTTGGTGAACTGCACTGTTGCCTTGCCTTGCAGATCACTAGGGACAGAGCCGCTCACACCATGACGGACTCAGTCACACATGGTGCAGCAGGTCCTTCAGCAGTTCGGGTTTCAGTTCTCTACCACACAGCCCACTCCTCTTGCCGTTGACTACATGCTCACCACACCTGTTCCTGACGAGCCGTTTGAGGCTAGTGGTCCCTACGCAGAGCTAGTGGGTTGCCTCATGTACCTGATGACTTGTACTCGCCTGAACCTCGCTTATCTTCACAGCATCCTGGCTTGCTTCGTTGCGATTGGGAGGGTAGCGAAGTAAGTGGCAACCACATCAGGCATGGGGCTTGTGCTCGGAGGAACAAAGCCAGTTGTGCTGAGAGGTCACTACGACTCTTCCTACGCCGACGACGTGGAGAGTCAGAGGTCTACACAGGAATACTACTTCAGCCCAGGCTCTAGCAATGTGTCGTGGAGACTCGGTCGTCAGCTGTGGCGCACTCTAGCTTGAGACTGAGATCTATGCCACTACCATGGCTGCGCAGGAGCTTCGCTGGTTGACCTTCTTTCTCACCGACCTCGGTGAGCGGCCGAGCTCTGCAGCGACCTTGTTCGCTGACATCAAGGCCATGATCCTCTTGTGTCGAGAGCCTCAATTGGAGAGCACAATGAAGCACATTGACGTGAGGTACTTCCTACTTCGAGAGCTGCAGCGACGTAGGCATGCACGTTTGGACTTTGTGGTCTCAACGGCCAACACTGCACGCATCTTCACCAAGGCTCTTCTGCCTGGTGATCACCACAGGTTCTGTCTGATGTTAGGCCTTGTTGAGGTAGGCCCTCGATATGCTGTAGTCGTACCGCTTGTTTTTGCTGTACGCGTCTTGTACTTCAATATTTGTTTGTGAACTCTTGAACTAGCCTTGTGGCTTTTTGCTTATGCTCGTACGGTGTGATGACTTCGTGATCCACCCTGAGCTTTGTGTTGTTTCTTCTCTTGACTGGTCTTGTGACCTCTTGCTTGACTTGCTCGTTTTGATGCTCTCACTTAGCCTATGGGGGTGTGTCAAAATATGTTTATATATATTTGGGGGGTAGGCTGTAGTGAGTTGCATGTCAGGGGGTACATGCAATTCTCTTGACATTCTTCTTGTACCTCCTTCACTTTCCCTAGTCACATCATTCCCAACTAAGTCTTCTAAATACCTACATAACTAATTAAGTAAGTTCTTAGACAGAGGGCCTCGTATGCACCCTTGTTTGTTCGTTGACCGAGGATTGTCTAGGACGTCTTACTCTTCTTTGGGGAGTAATTTTCGGAACCCCTGAAACAAATACGGTACAAGAGTGGCGCAATGAGATTCGCAACAAACGAAACAAACTCAACGCAAACAGTTCTTGTCGTAGACTCGCATCGTGGGTTATTTTACGTCGTGCATTAGGCTTCATTCGTAGCCCCTATACTTTAGGTGTTCCTCTGAAATTGCCGAAGATTGAGCACGGCATTTTTGAAATGCGGAATTGGTGCAAAGTGAAGACGTGAAATTACCTCTAGTTAGGTGTACTGCTTTCTCCCGGATATAGGACCCCGAGGACTTTCTGTCAAACTATATATGTTTCAAATGCTAGTGTAGAGTTGTTTGCGGCTTTGCGATCTGATTTCACGATGCATGCTGATGTTGACTATAGTGCTACTCGATCTCTTTGCTCGCTTCTTCATTGTCCAGGATCCTTGCCTTTTTCTAGTCCATGTGCTTGTGTAGCTTCTAGCCCAAGTGCACCTATGGACTCTGGCACGTCTCTGTGCTTCTTCCGCGACCACACGACTCTCACGCCACTTCCTGCCCTGGTTTTGGTTGCCCTGACTAATCCTACTTCAGATTCAATAGTCGCACGTAGCTCTACCACCCTCCTGTGTCTGGCCGACCCTTCCGGTGTCCTCGCTAATCTCCACATCCCCTCGTTCTCCATGGTGGGTGTTGGACACCTTCAGGACTGCCACGTTGGTGTCTAGTTTCCTCCATCTGAGCGTGTTAGGACATGAGTCGACGGTGACACCTACGCTCCCCTGGCCACATTTCGCCGAGAGCCCCACTCTGATCTCTTCACACTACACAATGAGTCTCCTCAGGTAGCTTCGTCTGGCCAGGTACCAGTAGTTGCGTTTGGTCAAGTTGTTGCGCCGTGCTCTTCTCGGTCGCTTACCCACCTGACAATCATGCGGCGCCACCATCTTGGTCACCCGTCCCTCCCACGCCTCTGTAGCATGTCTAGTCTGCATATTTTCACCAGTCTTCCGCGCGTCTTTGCGTCGCTCCCTCCTTCGCCCGTACCACCGTGCACTCCTTGCGCAGAGGGTAGGCTGCGCGCCACACCGCACTCCTCTTTCTTTCGTCCAGTCACCGCGCCCTTTCAGACTCTCCACTTGGACGTTTGAGGACCCGCCCCTCACCCTAAGCTCGAGAGGGAGAGCATCGTTTGGTGATCGTT